CAGCCATCGCAGTTTTACAGCTGTCTAAGAATGCCCTGCTTTACACCTAGTTCTGAATGGAAATGTTAGCAGAGAGAATACGCACCAAGAGTAATTACAGTGGCTTCAAGTGGCGAAGTCATTGAGTATTAATAATGAGCAGCAAGCTTTGCTTAGGACTAATTCACAGTCTGTTAGGTGTCACGATAGAGGTGAGCATTGGTAGAAGATTAGCTGTGACATCTCAAGAGGCACGTTAGAGAATCAGCGAATGGGCTAGTGGCAGGATGGTCCTTTAAACAGCAAACTGAAGGTGTCACCTATTAGCAGAGGTATTGTCACTAATTCATAAGAGGAAAAACTAAGAGTTAATGAGTTTAGCCCACCTAAGGTCACGAGGACATTAAATACCAGAACCAGGTACTTGAACACATAAGCTCTAAATCCAGATACCCATGTTCTGAACCACAGTTAGTTAAAGGTGTTGTGTCCATTTGGCAGGATGGGATCAAGAGATTACCATGGACATGTACAAGAATTATCAGTTAGCACTGAGTGCATCCAGATCTGGAGACCTTATGTCCCTGGTGCAACCACTGTATGCAGTTGTGTTGTTTGTTACCGGGCCATTTCAATGACTATGTAAAGGAGAGTCAGTGAGATTTTACTTTTTCTAGACTAGTTAGATGAAAAATTAAAGTGCAGCCAAGCAAATTTTATTGAATGCCATGAATAAAGATAATCATCTATGAGACTTCTAATAGAAAATATAAGAAACAAAGTTTAAATGAGCAGGGAGATGGCTCAGGGGTTTAAGTGCTTGTTGTGCAAGCATGAAGACCCAAGTTCAGATCCCCAGGAAAAAAGACAAATAATAAGAACAACAAACAAGGCCAGGCATGGCACCATGTGCTTGTAACCTCAGTGCAAAGCCTTAGGGGTCCTTGGGGCTGACTGTCCAAGCCTAGCTTAATTGGTAGACTTCAAGTTCAGCGTGAGACTCTTCCTTCAAAAAATAAGGTAGAGAGTGATTGAGAAAGACACCAACATTGATGTCTGGCCTCCACACCTGAGTTTAGGGTACACACACATGCACACACACACACACACACACACACACACACTATACACAACATGCAGAATCAGAATGTCATTGGACTCTCTTATCTTAGAAACAGGAGGAAAAGAGAATAGCACCTGCAGACTGTAAAGAAAAAGACCAGGAAGTATTGTAACTGTCAGATTTTATATCCAGTTCCAAACCTGTCAAAAATACCCTGAAGGATATTTGAGAAGAGTTAGAGTATATGACTCACATTAAGAAAATATTTGAGAGATCAAAGGGCTAAGAGTAGAGATACCAAAACAGAACAAAGAAAGGAAGCAAGTAAACAGTGAGCCATGGACACAGCCGAATCCAGAACAAGGAGAGACAGCAGTAATGAGTAAGGTCAAATAAGGCTTCTTGAAACAAAAATCATAATAAGTATAGTTTAATGAGATTTTAAAATACAGCATATGAAAGTATTCTAGCCAAATTTAGAATTCGTGAGAACAAGAGAGGTGAGATGAAATGATTGGAAAGTCGTGTTGACCCAGCTCAGACACGTGCAGGGCCCACGGTTGTCACTTCAGTCTCTGTGAGCCACTGTGAGCTCTGTGTAGTTGATTCTGTGGACTGTGTTCTTGTGGTGTCCTCCATCCTTCCTCCCCCTCTTCTGAAGGGTTCCCCTGGCTTCACCTAGTGTTTGGCTGTGGTCTCTGTATCTGCTCCTATCAGTTGCTAGACAGTGCCTCTCAGATGACAATTGGGATAAGCACTGATACTATGCATAACTTGGTATTCTTGTGGGACCACTAGCAGCAGGAGTGGGGGTGTCTCTGACTCGTTTGCTTGGGAGCCTTTTCCTTCTTCTAGGTCACCTCATCTGCTTGGGAGCCTTTTACTTCTTCACCTCATCTAGCCTTGATATGAGAGTCTGTTCCTAGTCTTTTTGTAATTTGTGATGCCATGCTCAGTTGATATCCCTGGGAAGCCTTTCTTTTCTTTTTTTTTTTTTCAGGAAAATGGAGGAGGAGGAATGGATCTAAGGGCAAGGAAGTTATGGGAGATGGGGGACTGGGAGGAATGGAGGTGGGGAAACCTACAGTTGAGATGTCATTGTATATAAAGAATTAAAATCTTAAAAAGTCTTGTTGATATGTGTAAAAAGTAAAAAATGTACAAATGTCATGTGGGTGATACCTTCTGAACCCCACCTTACATGACTGATCTACGTGAGAGAAAGAGGACTTGAAATAATAGGGAGCTCATAGTGTTAAGATGAATACTTGAAACCTACATGCGCTAAGCTGTGGAGAGACTAACTTGTAAAAGCAAGGAAACGGAGGGAGGGAAAGCTTCCATTGCCTCTCAGTACGTGGGAAAGGCTGGTATGTTCTCCGAAGGGGACGGACAGTGGAAAAACATGTAAGGAAAGGAAGAGACCAATCTGTGTGCTTAATTATAAAAGCTTACATGTTTTATAAATAATGGGTCTTTGCAAGAAGAAGTGTAAGCAAAAGTCAAGATTAGCTGGCTACATGAAAACCCTTAATAACTTTGGATGAAAAATAGACTTTATGGACCACATAAGCCAGCAATATTAAAAAATATATAATGGTAAGTAACTAAAGCTTTAGGCACATTCTGTTACTAAGATCAAATGACATATACAAAATTAAAACCATAAACTACCTAGATGTCAGTGAAAGACACAGTTTTCCCAACTGTATTACACTGTGTAATTCTTACTCAAGAAGAAGTTATAGTTTGAAAGTCTTCCTTACTTAAAGAAAAATATGGCCGGCTGTACTAAGACACAACTCTAATCTCAGTGTTGAGGCAGAGGCTGGGGAATTACTGTAAGATTAAGGCTAGACTATCTGTTTAGTGAGTTATAAACTAGACAGAACTACATGGTAGACATCATCTCAAAAGACCACAAAAGAAGAAAGATGAAAAGTAAAAGTAGTAGTTATCTTTAAAATACCATATAAAAAAGAAGAAACTCAGAAGAACTGAGAGTAAAGCCTGAGTCGTGGAGCCCAGAAGCAGAGGTTCCTGTAAGTCCTGGACTAAAGTCCCAGCTCGCCAGTGCAGGTGTGGAGGGAAGACATGCATGGGAGTGGAGGCAGGGATAATTCTCGGGTAATTCCATTACTGATCCTTTCTCTCCCTCCTGTTGTTTCTCTTTATCTCAGTTTCCTGTCTAGAAACAAAGACAGACGCTATGTTGGGAAAGGGGCCTTGTTATGCAGGATCTTGTTACAGCATGATCCTGAGGCCAGAGGGGATTTGGTAGTAAGGCTACCTGATGTTAGAGCATGATCCTGAGGCCAGAGGGGAGTTGGTACTGGGGCTGACTGAATGAATGTGAAACCCTTACTCAGAAATACATGAAGAGAGTCATAGCTTTTAGAGTGCTGAGCCATTGAGAAATGCCTTTCCTAAAGTACAAAAGACCTCCCCGCATAGATAGATTATAGTTATGTGGGCTGATGGACTCATACCAGGACATACAATCTAATGTGTTGGTTTACTTCATTAACTTTTATTATTTATTACTTTATTATTATTCTTTTCATTATCTTTTGTTCATCTTACCTTGCCACAAGACTCTGTCAGCAGCAAATCGTCGTCCCTGAGCTTTAGTAAGCCAAGACTTGCTGCAATCCCATTCTGGAAGCTGGCACTTAAGATTGTGAGTGTGGTAACGCTTTGTATTACTACTGACATTTGCTTCGTGATTAAAGGAAAAACCTTTGCCTCTCAGCTTGATACTGGTGTGGATCATTAAACATTCAGCTTGTCTATTTTTTATTCATTTTGAATAAGTTCCAGGCATTAATATATTTGAATTATTTGCATTTTGAATGGTATTGGTAAAAATCAGGGCAATTTGGGATAAAATACTAATTGCTTTTCTAAAAATTTGGGTTGAATAAAATACCAGCCTGTAACGAGAATACTAAATCTTCTCTTTCATATGTTCACTATAGGTTAGAAAGTGATTGTGTGTGTGTGAGTGTGTGTGTGTGTGTGTGTGTGTGTTTATAGGAGAAACATAAGCTTATTATCCATCCAGAAATATGTGCTGTCATAGCTTGTCCAGTACATAGCAGATCGGGAGTTTTTTACATTGGTTTTAACCTTTATTTATTCCAGTGAGCACAACAACTAAGAGAAATAATTGGCAAACCTATTTTCAATTCTGATTATTATTCTGCTAGTGAAGTTTGTGTTTTGGCTGTCATGTTTGGTGGGTAGCCATACAAAGGAAATACAAAGGAACCCTTTAAAACTCTGAATTATGTAGTTCTTGTCAAAAAATAAAATTGTATATGCATGAGACCTTCCTATGTATTTTATACCTATTTAGAAAAATAGAATTAAGATTTATCTTAAGTTGATCTTCTTTTTTTCCCTCATCAGAAGACCTAGGCAAATTATTTTTAATCCATTGTTCATTTTTCTAATTATAATATTAACCACCTCAAAAGCTACCTCAGGAAAACATAGTGTGTTCAGATGAGGACCAAGTGATAGTGTTCACCATCAGTGCAGCTCTGCTGATGGTAGCTGCAAGCCTCTGCATGTGTCCATTTCTCTCTGAAACCAGCTTATACTACTGTTGGACCTGGCCAAGTTGCAGGTTCCCATAATGTGGATGTGTGTCTAGCCTTCCTCAGAAGGGTGTTGCAATTAATATGTATGTGTGTTTATATGTGTTTGTGTGTATACATATTTATATGCATATATATAATATATATTGGCTTTATAAAAATGCCTTTGTATACATTCATGTCTCATTTCACGTTGTTCAAAAATGTGATAGCTACATTTGCAAAGTTTCAAGAGTTTGTGCTCCACATTTCACTTTTGCCATGGATTTTCTAAAATGTTTTCCTTTAATTTGAGATTCAGAAAATTTGAACAGTTGTCATACTCTTGTGCTTGTTTTCTTTGTATCCATCTGCAGGATGAATATAAACCAGAGAAGGCTTTGTCAGAAGAAGACTTGAAAAATGCCGTGAGTGTGCACCACGCCCTAGCATCCAAGGCAACTGATTACGAGAAGAAGCCGAACGTGTTTAAACTCAAGACTGCCGACTGGAGGGTCTTGCTCTTCCAAACCCAGTATGTTTGTTGGATTTGTTCTTATTTGGTCTTAGTCTCTTCTTCCTTGTAGTCCTTCTCCTCCTCTTCCTTCCACTCTCCATCTACAGGGAAGGAGAGAACCAGCGCTAACCTCCATACTCATGCTTTGACATGCACACACACACACACACACACACACGCATGCACACACTTCATACATACACAATAATAATATTTTTAAAGAACAGTGTCATAAACAATGGCATAAAAATGTTTGTGTATCAGTGTTTCATCTCTCTTGTGCCCCAACCTAAGAATAGAGTTATTAGGTTGTGTTGTAAATGTGTATATAATATTTGAGGAAAATATCCAATTCTTTCCACAGTGGTCAGGCATGTTGTCTTATAGTTCCTTCTATTGCATTTGCCTGAGTTCAATTTTTAAAAAAAATGTATGATTAAAAGAGATGAGTTAATGTTAATATTAATATTGGCCTAGACTAACTAGCTTCTAAGAAAAAGAGGCTGTGAAGCATATATGCCATTTTCTCTATGGATCTTCCAGTGAGAGTCACAGCCTTGTAATGTTGTGATGATCATTCCTATATGACCTTTCATTCCTATAGTGAGCCCTGTTGAGAATGTTAACCTCCCGTGAACTAATGAACTTGTACACTGAGAATAAATTATCCTAATGTGCCATTTTAAATCAGCGATAAGAAAAAGACAAAGTGTGTTCTACCTAGATACAGCACTAGCCTGACATCCACGTCTTCCTTTCCTAGGAGTCCAGAGGAAATGCAAGGCTGGATAAGCAAAATTAACTGTGTTGCAGCTGTATTTTCTGCTCCACCATTCCCAGCAGCCATTGGCTCTCAGAAGAAGTTTAGCCGCCCACTTCTGCCAGCTACCACAACAAAATTATCCCAGGTAAGGCGGTGTGATCATGCTCTGTACTGGATGGAGCTCTTTCGCAATTTGAGTTCCTAACATAGATAGCAACAAGGTGAGCACTCTCCTGGAAAAGTAAACAGTGCGAGGAAAATTAAAAGTTCCATTGAAAGGGTTTGGTACTTTAAGACATATTTGTTCATAATCCTGTCACTTGTGAGCTTTTCTCCAGTTTGTTCTTGTCTTTCCTCCAAATATATTAGCCTGAATTATTAAGACTGATTGCTCCCAGTGTGGCACAGCTCTTCCTGAACAGCTCTGCTGTGTAGGAGTCACCTTCTCGGCTGTGTTCGTTGCAGTGCTGCCAGAATACATCTCTCTTCTCCTGGGGGTGGAGAGAATACTTAAGTTTCCCCCTCCTTCTGGTGTAGCTTCCAAACAGAATATCATGCCCCACGACACGCACCTTACAGTCTGTTGAGGACCTCCTCTTATACCCACCGAAGCAGTCGCTGTCAAGCTTGGTAGGCACAGAATGATCTAAAACTTGGACCACAGGCCCAGTTTGTATCCCTTTGTGATGGCTAAGATCTAGGCTGAGACAGGAACTGTGCATGTATCTCAGATATGCAGGAGGCTGGATAGTAAGAAAGGTGGATGACATGTAGACTCATGACTGGGACACTCTCTGCCTTCCTTAGGTCTTCCACCACTTCTGGACACTCAGATCTCATAAAGTACTATTTCTTGCATCTAGTCTTTGTTTTTGGATTCCAGTTATGTTCTTGTAAAAATTTGAAATCGATAATCATTAGATGTTGGCAGAGTCTATCTGTTCATTCCTGAATGCCAAGACCAGAAATAATCACACAGAAACTATATTATTTAAATCACTGCTTGGCCAATCACTAGCTCTTATATCTTAAATTAACCCATTTCTGCTAATCTCTGTATCGCGACATGGCTGTGGTTTACTGGCAAAGTTCCGATGTGTCTGTCTCCTACAAGCAGCTACACAGCTTCTCACTGACCCTGCCTGCTTTCTCCCAGCATTCAGTCTAGTTTTCCCACCTAGCTCTACTCTGCCCTATCAAAGGCCAAAACAGTTTCGTTATTCATTAACAAATAAAAGCAACACATATACAGAAGGACTTCCCACAACAATTAGATACTAAACACTGTACATTAACTGAGGGAAAGCCACAAAGTAAACACTGGTAAGAAACCAGAAACCTGTTTCTTTTATGTTGAAGTATCTACCTCTTAACAGATAGTAGGTATTTGAACACAAAGCACTCTGCTACTCAGATGCAACCCAACTTATCCTTCACTTTATCCTGTGGTTTGACCAAAAGTAGGCTTAATAAAGACCCACTGAGAAGACACTGGGAATATGTGTTATGGCAGAAAAGGCTTCTTGTGGTTGCCTTCCTCGCTGGTCAGAACTATATACCTCACCCCATACACATGTCTATAGCCTGTGATGTCGGGGTCTACTGTATATATGTATTAAAATACCACACGTAAACCTCATTCATGAGTATGGTTAATGCAGGTAGCAAAAGTTAAATAAATCCAGGTGCAGTGAACACATCTATAATCCAGCCACTTGCGACGGTGACTCAGAAGAACTGCTCCAGTGCCAGACTCGGCAGGGTACCAATTAATTACATTAAAAGACAAAATATGAAATGTCCTTCAAAATTAAAATACTATAAAGTAAAAGAAAGTAAAATCTCATTTTAAATTTTAGCTGACAAATATGATTTGTCTGTATTTATAGGTACAGTATGTTCTTATAGTATGCATATTGTGCAGTGATTAATCCAGGTGATTAATATACGTGTTTTGTGGTGAGGATATTTGATGTCTCTTTTGGAAATTTTGAAATATGTCTCACACTGTTATTAATTATAGCTATCTTGATTTACTATAGAATTCTTGAATTTGTTCTTTCTGACTGGCATTTTGATCTTTGTCCAACATCTCCCAGTCCCCACAATCTCCAGGCTATAGAGCCACTGTTTCGCCATCTAGTATCATGGGTTTTCCATGTATCCATACTGTAGCATGTGACCAGATTTTTGTTTTTTAAGGCTGAACATATATGAATATGCATTTTGATTAGTCACAGTCTCTGTTGTCGCACACGTCGTTTCTGTTGTATCATGAACATTGTGAGTAATGCTCCTATGACCATAAGAATGCGTGCATCTTTTTACATTATTTCATTCCTTTTCTCTTTACCCAGAATTGGGATGGATGGATTATCTAGTAATTCTGGACCTTCCATTCAGTTTTTCAGAACTAGTGTGTTCTGAAGCCCCAGGGACCCAAGGATAGGGTACCAGCAAGATCAGAGTCTGAAATACTTCCCTTTGGGCAGCAGAGGGTTGCTGTCCTCATAGCCTTCCCTGGTGTGTAACATGCATGCAGAGAGGTCACACTTTCCAGTGTCTCCTAAGGACTCTGGGCTTTGATGAGCTTCCGTCTTCTCCTATAGGTGCATGGGGATTTATCTCTGCAACATGGCCTGTATACTCCTTGGCAGAGCTCAATAGATGAATGAAGAATTATAAACTAATCTCCCTGGAGAATGGTCATTGGCTTTTGTCATTACCAGTGCACAGCTGATGAGTTTTCCAGAATTTTAGGTATATCTCTCTCCAATTTTTGCCAGGATTACTTTGGTACTTTGCTATGCCTGGTACTTCAAGTGAACCTGGTCCTTTTTCATCCTTCACTCCATGCTCCTTTGTGTACTTATTTAGTTTACTTCATTATTTATTTTCTAGTTCATGACCTTAAACATTGAGGTTATTTTCTTTGAGCGCTAGGGATCTCACTAATTCAGAAGACTCTAAGATACTGTATTTGACCCATGCTTTCTGGGTAACTTTTTACTTAAATTATTACATAGTCTTTAGTATTTGTGATTATTAATATTTTGGTAGCTTTAAAATCCATCTTTATTCTGCTGTACAAATTTTATATAATACAGAATTATGGTTCCGTTATATAAAATATATTTATTGTTCTTTTTAATTCCTTTTTATCTGCCACCCAACTATTTTATACTGCAGATGTAAAATTGTTCAAGATTTTGAACAATTTTCTTGGAAAAGCAGAATACTAAGTAGTTACACAATTGTAGGGGTGCCAGAGAGTTAGAATGTCTTTGTTTCGAGTGTGTTTAAAGCTGCTGGATGAGGAGGTGGAGGCAGGAGAGTAATGAATAAGTTTCAAGGCCAGCTTATTCTACTCAGTGAGTCTCAAAACAAAAACAAAATAGAAAGAAGAATGAATATTTTCAGTATGTTCTGAGAGAGCTGGACAGCAGGTCTTTTTCGGTAGTGTATTACTAAGTTGATGAAAATGGTATCCAGGAATGAACATCCTTATGCATAGGATTGATATTATTATGCCAGTGCCTTGTGTGTGGACTAATGCTTACATGCTGGAATCACTCAGTGTTTAACTTTGGGTCAGTGAACTTGAAGCAAGTGAGAACCTCTGCTGGTCTAGGTAAGGATTTCATCTGCAAATACATTTCATAGAAGCATTTCTGCGTAGCACAATTTCTCCCCAAGAGGAAAATATTATGCAAATTAATGTTCATTAAGATAAACAGGGAGAAGCTAAGAGCATTACTGAGTGGGCATGAAAGGAGAAGCCAAGCCACGTGATTCTCAGGAAAGGCATTTAGTTGTTCAGCTTTGTAACTTGTTTAACAGGGTTTCTTTGAAGAGGCCCAGTCCCCACTTGGTGACGAGCATAGCTGGTAAAGAGCTCAGAAATGGCCTGGCTTTGTGAGAAGAGACTGGCCAGTCGTGCTAGTTCCTGTTCCATCCTAAAAAGGAATCGCAACATGGGCCTAAAACAGTAGGAAGGACTTAGGACCAAAGGCTCACTGGACTGTTTTGATAATTGAAGTCATTAAACAGAAAGGATTTTACGGGCATCTTGTGCTTGTCTTTGATTATTTTCTGAGCACTGAATGACTTCATCCTTTCCTGCAGGAGGAACAGCTGAAATCCCATGAAAGCAAGCTGAAGCAGATCACGACTGAGCTGGCTGAGCACCGCTCATACCCCCCAGACAAGAAGGTCAAAGCCAAGGATGTGGACGAGTACAAGCTCAAAGATCACTATCTGGAGTTTGAGGTACAGTGAGCCTAGTGTTGCTAAGTTCTTGTTTTATTATCTGCCACTGAAGCAAACACCTCCTAGCAGTCGTGGTAGTGAGCTGGCCTTGTCCTGGCTCCAACTGAGCATGTGCTGGTATGAAGGGGTTCTTGTAGCTCCTCACACTTGGGGTTTTACTGAAGCACCAAATAAATATCAAAGTGCACGTCAGACAAATCTCCTCCTATAGAAATAGTGTGTCCCTGAGATAAGGTTAGAAAAGAACAGCAGCAGAGGGAGCATGCCGGGAGGACAGCTGCTTTCCGTGACCCTGAGTTTCTTCCAACAGATTTTGCGAGGAAATGAGTTGCAGGGTGATGGGAAGCATCTGCTCGTCCGCACACCCTTGCTGCTAGTGACATCAGTACCCTCTTCTCCACCCCTCTCCGCCCTGCTTTCAGAAGGGGATTGATGCCCCAAGCCTCGGCTCATTCACATCATCTGGTGTTGATGATGAGAAAGGCAGCAGATTCCAAGCCAAGCTGAACGCATCTTCCCCCGTGTGTGCTTTGTCTAGGGTTTCTCTCCAGTCAGAGCCAGTTCCCTCCAGCTCTCCCTCTTGGCCACCACCAATCATTTTCTAAAAATCAAGACAGAAAGGAAAGAGAAAGAAGAGCTGTGTATGCTGCGAGGTTTTCGTTTCGCACACGCTCTTTTGTGGGGTCTGCTGCCCCTCTTCGCACCTCCAGTCCCGTCATGTCCCCCATTCTTCCTTGTTCCCATGTGACGTGCCCTGTCCTCCTCGATACTGAAATGGGGGGCATTCAATCACTCGGCTCCTGATCCTGTCTTTGCAGTGCTCCACCCTGTGGCCTTTGTCAGAGCCACTGCCGGGTGCCTCCCCTGCGCGTGTCCTGGCTTCTTTGTGTCTCATGTGAACTAGCGGTTGTCTCCAGCTGCCTTTCCTGCCTTCGGTTCATCCAAGTGCCTTGTTTTTTGGTTCTGAGGATCAATCTGATTGATAGTGTCACCTGTTCTACAACTGTCCCAGCTCCTACACCCAAACTCTGCTCTGTTTACCCTCCAAAAAGCCCTACACATGAATCTGAGAGGATTTGCCTTTTTCTCCTATCTGGACCATTACTCTGTCCACATGCAGTACGAACATTTCTGCCTCTCCTCTCCCCAACCATAGATACACTCCTTCTGAATTCAGCTACTTCTGCCTCCAATGTCCTTCATGGAGTTTTCTTCTTTCTACTTACTTTCTTTCAAAGTAAGGCACAAATCTTCCCTATAGAAATCCCTCTCTAGTCTACGATAAAAAGTCAATCTGTGCTGGAACTCAGCCTCAGTTGGCTCTGTATTGAACTTCCATTAGTCTGTCTCCGTGTCTGAAGTAGATCCCGCAGGCCCCAGTGCAGCCCGGCGAGGCCCAGTACTTGCTCGTTGGAGCTGCTTCCTGAGTTGTGGCATTATATTTACGATCGAAAGCAGAGCCACGCGCTACTCTTCTCCATGGGAAAGGAGTCCTTGCTCTCCAAGACAGAAAATTTTTCTAGTACAACTTGAAAGTTTGTTAACAAAAACTACTGAAGCCTGACCAGCAAAAGACTTGAAAAATCAATGAATAGAAAAAGTGAGTAACTCAGCTTTGGCCAGGCTTGTTCATCCTTGGGAAATGTGAGTTCTCAAAAAGCAATCATTATTCTTCACACTTCTGGAGTAACTCAAAACTATACACTTGGCTTTGTTTCACACTTTGTAATTAAATTCCCCAACACCTCTCTCCTCTGCTTCCAGCACTCAGCACCTTCCTTTGAGCCCTTGTCTCTGGGAGGAGAGCCTTTCCCCAGGAGGTGGAGCCCTTGCAAGGCCACAGGAAGGTAGCCAGGACTAGTGCAAAAGAGACCAATGTGTGGCTCTTCTGTGGGGCCCTGTTTCTGAAACGGGAGCCCAGCAAGAAGCAGCTGTCTTACTTCCTGAACACTGAGATTAGACCAGCTTTTGGGAAGTTAGGTGTTGTCCTCATTGCCTCCTCAAGGAACTTGAAGATTGTATTGCAGGACTTCATTCGTTAAAGTCAGACTCAGGCTAAGGTGCCCAGTGTGTCGAATTGTCTGTCAAGCTTCATTAACCTGTGTCAATGAGGAAGGTCCAAGGGCCCTTCCTGTGTGAATGTTATCAGAAGGGCTTTCTGCGAGATGAATAAATACTCTCGGGAAAGTGAGTCACTGTTTTTCACTAACTCAGATGAAAATTGAAGTAATGGATCATGGACAATCTCCTGTGCTGAGTTGAGTCACAGAATTGATCTCCTGTGGGTGCTTATGGAGGCCGATGCCCAGCATCTTCTGCTTTGAGCGGCGTTCTTCAAATAGCTCCCTTCTCTTCTCGGGAAAATGTAGGAAACTTTCCTGAATAGAATGTGGGCCAGTTTGTGTATTTTGCTTACAGCTCTACCCCAGAACCTAGAATGCTTACCAGGTTCTTGATACTCAGCTGCGTGACCAAGTGGAACTTTATCCTGGTGTATAAAGATAATATCAGAAAAATGAGTGCATTCAGAAGGCTTAGCCTTAATCCTCTGCAGAGGGACAGATGCGGAGGGATAGATGCAGAGGGACAGCAAATCCCCTAGCAGGTGAGAAGAAGCATCCTGTCTGCAGGTCCAGAGTTCTCCTGGTCAGGGACAGGAGGAGGAGGCCCGCCCAGCTACCTTCTCACTCGGGATGAATTACAGGATCAGCTCTCCGGGCTCCTGAGGACTGGGATCAGCTCTCCCGGCTCCTGAGGACTGGGTCTCACTTGCTCCGCGCAGGCCATTATTTCGCAGCCTCCTTAGGTGTCAGCACTACTTGTCATTTTCACAAGCCTCAGGAAGAAAGCACTTTTGTTTTGGCAGGATGTTAAATTGCTGGTGACACCACCAGGAGAGTTCCTATGTTTATGCCTCTCAGTTATGTCCCAGGTTGCTTTGAGGACAAATAATTCTTTATGGCAAGCCAAATTCATAGCTCTCCGTAGAGCTAAGAATATCTGAAAGCTCTTAGTCTCAGTAAATAATTAGAAATTCCAGCAAATGTGTAGGTTTAGGACTTAAACAAAGAAATCTATGGAAAACAAAGAAATTTTCATGTTAACCTTGTAGGGAAAGGCTCATTTTTACCTAAAGCAGAAAATTTCACTGAGAATGAACTGTAATTAACTAAACCTGTACTTTTTGCTCTAATATTTAGTGGAGAATGGGCAGTTTTGTTCTTGACTCAATTAGTACCTGAAGCCATGTTTTTTTTTTCTTGGAAGAATTTCCATGGAAAGCTTGCTTTGGGAAAGAGTATGCTCTGATACAATGTTATTAAGCATCATAAGATCACAACAAGGAACCTAAGGTGTTTCCCAGTTGTGGGAAGTATCTACAATAGCCACACATCTCACACAATAGCTTATTTTCACTTTATAGTTCCCATTTTATTATAAAGTGTTTTCATTGATGTCAAAGCTCTGGGTACATTAGAAAATATATAAAGCATTAGAGGGAAGACAGATGGTTCATAGATAACATAAACACTCATAAAGTTCCAGCCAGTCAAGGCACAGTGGTCTGAGCTATGCTGGCAAGCATTTTTGTGCTTGAAGAAGCAGCATCGTCAAATCCCCATGATGGCCTTGTACTTAGCATAATGTCAGCAGTCAAGGCAGGGGCATTTTCTTGCCCAGTGGCTTACTTTGGCCACAAAGAAAGTAACCTTCATGTGGAGTTTCTCAACCCCACCCATAGTAATTTAGATGAGACATGTGTTAATAAGCTGTGGTATATGGTAGGTTAGATGTATCGAATACACATTTGACTTATTTTAAATTTGGTGGACTTGTCAGAACACAGCCCATGTAAGTGGCGTGCAAAATGGGATAGAGAGACTATATTTTGCAGTGTGAAAAGAATGTGAATTTTGGAAGCTAAGGCTAGAAATGGGATGCTGTCACTAGAAAGTCCCTCAATCCACGTATTATTAGTAAAAAGAGCTTATTGGCTCATGAGAGCTCCCCATTTACAGGTAGATTGCTATCACTGTCCTCAACTAGGTTAGTTCCATAAGAAGGGTTTTGTTAGAAAACTAAGCCTGTCCCTAATGGATAGATCTAGAAAACACCATATTGAGTAAGGTTACCCAGACCCAGAAAGACAAATGTAAGTGGCTTTTAGGCATAAAGCAAAGAAAAATAAATCTACAATTCACAACACCAGAGAACCTAGACAACAAAGAGGACCCTAAGAGAGACATACATGGATCTATTCTACATGGAAAGTAGAAAAAGACAAGGTCTCGGGGCTGGAGAGATGGCTCAGCGGTTAAGAGCACTGACTGCTCTTCCAGAGGACCCAGGTTCAATTCCCAGCACCCACATGGCAGCTCACAACTATCTGAAGATCCAGTTCCAGGGAAGCTGACACCTTCAAATCAATGCACATAAAAATAAAGTTAAATAGACTATAAGAAATATTTAACAACAACAACAAAAAGACAAGATCTGAGTAAATTGGGTGCATGGGGATCATAGGAGAGGGTAGAAGGGGAGAGGGGAGAAAAGGAAGGGAGCAGAGAAAATAAATAGCTTAATAAAACCAATTTTAAAAAAAAAGAAAACTAAGCCTGTCCCTCACTTCTATTTTGCTTTCTCTTGTTCTCCTCCTTCTGCCATCAGATAGTTGCAGCCAAAGGCCCCTGCCAAGTGCCAAGGCAAATGCTCTTAGACGTCTCAACCTCCAGAGCCATGAGTCAAACATTTCTGTCTATTACAAGTTACTCACTCTTGGACCTTCTCTTATAGTGACACAAAACTTATTCAGACATGTTCCCTTATGCTTCGAAGTAGAATTCTTGAAGGTGTATGAGTCCTCTCATTCTCATTTTTCAGAAAAGAGTGTCAGATTCTTCCATAACTGAAACCAGGCAGTCAGAAACTCTGCTGACTTAGTAGGCTGTAGTTCAACTGAGTCCCCATTCCCGAGTTGTGACCCAGAGTAGCATATGCTC